TTTCGTTCTGTTTCTCTCTCTTCTTTTGTCTTTTGCTTTCTCTTTTGTTTTTTTCTGTCTCCTTTCTGTCTCTTTTTTGTCTCCTTTTCGTCTTCTTTTTTCTTTTCTTTCTGTCTCTTTTCTGTCTCCCTTTTGTCTCCCTTTTGTTTTCTCTCTGTCTCCTTTCTGTCTCCTCTTGTTTTCTTTTTTATTTTATTTCTGTCTCCTTTATGTCTCCTTTCTGTCTCCTTTCTGTCTCCTTTTTTGTTTTCTCTTTGTCTCCTCTTGTTTTCTTTTTTATTTTATTTCTGTCTCCCTTCTGTCTCCTCTTTTTGTTTTGTTTTTGTCTGTACAAAGCGGTTGTCTTTTTGGTTTGTTTGTTGTTTTTGTTTATTTATCTTTTGTTGTTTGTTTATTTTTTGTTGTTTTTTTGTTTATTTTAATTTATATATTAGCTTTTATTTATTTATTTGTGTATTTTCTGTTTTTTTATCTTCTTTTATTTCTTTGTTTACCTTGTGTTGTTCATTTGCTTATTTTATTTTTTTTATTTTTTTGTTTTCTTTCCTTCTTTATTTTATATTGTTATATATTTATTTATTTATTTATTTTATTTATTTATTTATTTATTTTATTTATTTTTTTTGTTTTGTTTGTTTGTGTTTAGATAGGGAGGGTTGTTGATGTTGTCTCTAAGCAAGATATGCAACTCAAGCCGGTAAGGATATATATCTTTTTTTTCTCTTTATATTTATATTTATATTTATATTTATATTTATATTTATATTTATATTTATATTTATATTTTTATTTTTATTTTTATTTTTTTTATTTATATATATTTTTATTTATACTTATGTTTATTTATAGTTATATATATATATATATATATATATATTTATATTATATTTATATTTATCTATATTTATATTTTTATTTATATTTATACTTATATTTACATTTGTATTTATATTTATATTAATATCTATAAAGACAAATACACCGCGACCAACCCCTAAAAAAAAAAAAAAAAAAAAAAAAAAAAAAAAAAAAAAAAAAAAAAAAAAAAAAAAAAAAAAA